TTTTTTTTTCCATTTATTTTTATTAGTTGGAGGCTAATTACTTTACATCATTGCAGTGGTTTTTGTCATACATTGAAATGAATTAGCCATGGATTTACATGTATTCCCCATCCCGGTCCCCCCTCCCACCTGTCTCTCCACCCCATCCCTCTGGGTCTTCCCAGTGCACCAGGCCCAAGCACTTGTCTCATGCATCCAACCTGGGCTGGTGATCTGCTTCACCCTAGATATACATGTTTCGATGCTGTACTCTGGAAACATCCCACCCTCGCCTTCTCCCACAGAGTCCACAAGTCTGTTCTATAAAAATAGTTTCTTCAGTTGGGTAATAAAACACTTGATCTAGATATCTCAAGGCTTTCTTCTAGCTCTGATTCCTTATATTTATTTGCTTGTAAAGTATTTTATGCCCAAGATGAAAGCAAACCTAAGCAAGTAATTTGGGGGGAACCATAATATTAATTATAGAAGCAGAATATGCTAGTTGCCAGGAATATCAGTTTTCACTTGATATTTGATTTTTCCATCTGTGACTCATACCATAATGCCCATGGACTCATACCTGTCAATTAATAATGAGTTTTATTACTTTAAATTAATAAAATACTGATATTTTATTTAAAGTAATTTAATTTCATTGCATGTATATATAAAAATAATATTTATGCAATATATATGGTATTATATTCTGTATAAATTTTGGCTTGCAAATTTGTGCTTCAAATTAGAAATTAGGTTTAACTTTCTAGTTATATAAAATACTTTTTTTATATAGCATTTTTTTCATTTATTTTTATTAGTTGGAGGCTAATTACATTACAATATTGTAGTGGTTTTTACCATACATTGACATGAATCAGCCATGGGTTTACATGTGTTCTCCATCCCGATCCCCCCTCCCGCCTCCCTCCCCATCCCAATCTTCTGGGTCTTCCCAGTGCACCAGCCCTGAGCACTTGTCTCATGCATCCATTTTAAGACTTTGTTTCTTGATTTCTTTTTTTCCCAAATATTTTATTTTCAAATATCACACATAAACAAAAATAAAGCTTCAATTCTGTTACATTAAGGTTTTTTAAAGAGAATATATAATATTTGATCCAATGTGATACTTTTTTCAGCCTAGTTTTTTTGTTGTTGAGAATTAGATCAGGGTGGTTGTCAGTTGTTTCAAATAATGAAGTATCTATAGTAATGAATGGTGATTCATCTGTAGTATTGATTATCCGTAAAGATAAACTTGGATTCCAAGAAGCAAAGTAGGTCAACTGGTGAAAAGAATTTTTATTCTGTCAGAGCTCAATCCAGGAACAAAAGCATCTATGTCAAGAAAACAATAACAATAAAATCTGATGTCATCCTATTTATATTAGGCAAACTAGAATTTAATATATATTTGAGGGAGAAAGAAAGAGACTTCATACTGGTAAACAACCTACCAGGTCAGTATAATAGTCAATTTCTATATACTTTTATACCAACCTTCAAAGCATAGAAAGCAAAAAATAATACAAAAACACAAATAAATTGACACTCAAAATATAAGCCACGATATAGAGTGTTTGAATATCATAACTAGCAGCCTTCCTTTAAATATACATAAGCTATATGCTCAACAGAAAAGTGAATATTCTTTTGAGACACTTGATACACTGATAAAACTTATCCATGTAATTTGGCCACAATGAAATTGCAACTTTTTTGTCCCAAGGCAGAAATCACACAGGACACGTTTGTGAACATGATGTAATAAAATTAAAAATGGAGACCCAAAACAACCTTACACAGGGGATTTCTTAAAAATCCACATTCTCATTTCTAAATAAGTTTTCTGCTTAATTTACAAACTATTTAGAAGGCAACGACAGTGAAAACACAACCCAGGCAAAAATGTCGGCTCTCCTGACATCTCTCCCTGTGCCTATCAACCAGTCACTCTTGTGGATGCCCCACAGATCCTGCCTGTTTCTGACACTTGTCTGCTTTGGGTTTGGTGTTCCCCAAGACCTACTCTGGAGTTCCCCAGAATAAAGTTTCCTCTTTATTCTTTACTCAGGCATACATTTTGGCCTATCTTTTCCTTTAAGTCAGAGCACATCTATTTTCTATCTTTCTTAAAATTTCAGTTATATTAGAATATGTACATTAGATGTGCATATATATTTTCTATCCCTTATATGGATATCCAGTGGGAGCTGAGGCTGAGGTACATTCTGCCATCTTCATCCAGTTTTATGAAGATTTTGCTTTATTTGTTACCTTTTGTTTGCTTTATTTTGTTTGAGAAGTCAGAACCCTAAGGTGGAAGTTGACAGAGTTCTTAAAATCATCTTATCTAAATTCCTCATTTCACAGGTTATAAAACTGATTGCAAAATACACGAAGATACCTGCCTGAGATTACCAGTAAACTAGGTATAAGGTTGAGATAAGAACTAAACTTTTCTGACTGATGTAGCCCTCTTTTTTCTTTACTAATCCACTTCAATCTGCATACAAAATATTCCTTTTTTAAAGAACTGCTTGGACAGTTAAGGTCTCTGAATTAAGTATAGACATTTGGAGTGAAAGACTGATCTAATATTTATGGTTACCTCTAAATGACAGGAGCAGAGAGAATCATGAAAATCCTTATGTCTTAATAACAGATATCATACTTTTGTAGTTGTGGAAAATGTCTAAAGATTATCTCATTGGATCTTTTCATCAATTCTGTGGAACAGAACTAGTGTCTAGTTTCAGACACTAGAACTCAAAGGCATTGAGTGGCTTATAGACTCAGTAAATGACTGAACCAGACTTTGAACATAGGACTTCTGATTCTGTATCCATATTTCTTGTCATTTACGTCATCTGTGTAAGCACACTCTATGTTTCTTTTAGAATATCCTCGAACAGAATCTGAATGGGAAAACAGCTTTGCTTTGAAGATGTTCCTCTTCCAATTTGTCAATTTGAACAGTTCTATCTTCTATATTGCTTTCTTTTTGGGGAGGTAAGTCAACTTCATACACACTGTCTTTACAGAGTGACAGAGACTGTCAACAGTTTTATTGCCAGTTTGTTAACAGAGGTGGCGAATTCTTGTCCTCTGCCTTGAAAAACTGTCCCAATGAATCTTCACATGCTGTTTCAAATCAAGACTTAGTACAGTGCTTCTGGCTGCCACTCCCAATTAAAGTTGAAATAAAAAAGTAAAGCCATATAATTGAGTCACTTTTCTGTACAACTGTAATTAGTACAACATTGTAAATCAGCTATACTTCAATAAAATAAATAAGACCTATATGCCATGCTGGGGTTGAATTATGATTCTCCAATCATTAGTGATGATTTTGTTAAATAAGAAAAATTTTGTATAAGCCTAGAGTACACTTACTTAGTGTGGAAACTTATAACTATCATGGTAATATTTTTTTTCCTGAATTTGCTGTAGAATATAAAAAAGAAGCATATTAAGCTACCTGTTCTGGTTTGCCATATGCTCAACACTCCAGCCAGTGCCATGGAAACATACTGAAGCTAGAAAATTTTAAACTAAATAACTCAGCACATTTTATTAATAGTCATTAACTAGGTCAAAAAGACCTTAAAACTCTACAAGTCAGTGTGGAAAATTTCATTTGGTTGGTTTGTCTGTACTTTCTCAATCCATTGATAATGACTTCACACATCACTTTTCCTTTTTAAGTCAGGTCCTTTGATGTGTAAGCATGGCCTAAGTCACTGTTTGGGTACAAATTGCTCCAGAGAACACTTAGGTCTACCCACACTTGCACTGGTTGTAATGCATTATTAGTAACTGTTCTTCAGTCAACGCCGCCTAAACACTAATGAATTAAAATGGCTTTTTACAGATTTGTTGGCCATCCAGGAAAGTACAATAAACTTTTCAACCGGTGGAGACTGGAGGAAGTAAGTAACTTTGTAAGGGTGGGGGTGGGGTGGGCATGGATATGGGCTAATGACTGTGGGGGAAAAGGGGCCAATGACTGTGGGGAAAGAGAGAGCAAGGGGAGGTAAACAGGGAATTTCATCTGAACTGAAGGCATGTTTTTGATAAAGCAGGCAATCTAGGGGTTCCTAAGAAATGAAGTCTTCCCAAAAAGAGGGTGTACATTAAACCCCAAGATCTTGACCTCAGTGCTCTTTAATATACTATCAAAACCATTTCTTCCATTCACAAAGCCCAGAAATTCAGCTCTAGTAGATTGCTTTCTTTTGGAGAATTGTTATTATCTATGCACTGGTTTCCAAACTTTTAAATATATTGGATTTCCTTCTAAGCAAGGAAAAATTAGTCTAGAAGAAATCTTACATCAAATACCAATTTATAAATGTATAGGTATATCTTCAAAGTCTTATATTTCTTTATTGATATTTAATATGTATGTATAGAAACAAAATGTCTAGGAATGATATTTCTATATTCCAGGATAAGAATATTGTATATTTTCATTGAGACTGACGAACTGTCCTCCCAAATGCCAGCTCCTACCTATAGTATATATATACCTATAGTATATAGTATATACCTACCTATAGTATATACCTACCTATATATATATATATAGGTATATAGTATATACCTATACAGTATATATATAGTATATGAATTTACTTCTTCAGAATTTTCCAAGTGAAACAGTTTCATTCTTACCCATAATCCAAAGGATATCAGAATATCTCTTGATTTCAGTTCCTTTAATTACAAGTGACACAGAGAATGTTTTTCATGCTTGTTGATACTTTGTATTTCTGCATGTATGTTATTCCTGTTCATTTTAATTAAACTGTTTTTTCTGTTTTAATAATTTCTAAACAAATAAGATTAGGTTCTTTCAAATTTGTTAGGGATATATTCCCCATTTTCTTGTATATCTTTTAATTTTGTTTTGATATATTTTTTACAAAACTATATAGCATTTTCTAATCAAAATATTATTGTCGTTAATGTTTCGGGGAATTTGTTTCATCACAAAAATGTGTTGTCAAATTGGGAAATTTTTAAAATTCATGCATATTTATAACTACTGTTATTTTTAAGAATATTATCTTTGACCCATTGGAAGTTTATTTTCATNAAGACTTTTAAAAATATAGTTCTTCTATGTATTCTTGCCACCTTTTCTTAATCTCATCTGCTTTTTGTTAGGTCCTTATCATTTCTGTTCTTTATCATGCCCATTCTTGCATGAAAATTCCCTTAATACCTCCAATTTTCTTGAAGAGATTTCTAGTCTTTCCCATTCTATTGTTTTCCTCTATTTCTTTGCATTGTTCACTTAAGGTTTTCTTATCTCTCCTTGCTGTTCTCTGGAGCTCTGCATTCAGTAGGATATATCTTTCCCTTTTTCCCTTGTCTTTTTCTTCTCCTTTTCCCAGCCATTTTTAAAGCCTCTTCAGATGGCCAGTTTGCCTTCTTGTATTTCCTTTTCTTTAGGATAGTTTTGGTTCACACCTCCTATACACTGTTATGAACCTCCGTCCATAGTTCTTCAGGCACTCTGTCTACCAGATCTAATCCCTTGAATCTACTCATCACCTCCACTGTATAATCATAAGGGTTTGATTTAGGTCCTATCTAAATGGTATGAATGTTTTCCCTACTTTCTTCAATTTAAGCCTGAAGTTTACAATAAGGAGTTCATGATCTGAGCCAAAGTCAGCTCCAAGTCTTGTTTTTGCTGACTGTATAAAGCTTCTCTATCTTCAGTTACAAAGAGAATAATCGATCAAATTTCAGTATTGACTATCTCCTGATGTCCATGTGTAGAGTCATCACTTATGTTTTTGGAAAAGGGTGTTTGCTATGACCAGTGTGTTCTGGACAAAACTCTGTTAGCCTTTGCCCTGCTTCATTTTGTACTCCAAGGCCAAACTTGCCTGTTACTCCAAGTATCTCTTGACTTCCTACTTTTGCATTTCAATCCCCTCTGATGAAAAGTACATCTTTTTCTTGGTGTTCTAGAAGGTGTTATAGGTAGGCCTTCATAGAGCTATTCATCTTCAACTTCTTTGGCATTAGTGGTTGGTCAATCAATTAGTGTTGATTACTTCGCATTGGAAAAAAATGAAATCATTCTGTCGTTTTTAAGATTGCACTCAAGTGCTATATTTTGGACACGAGTTTGAGCAAACTCCAGAAGATAGTGAAGGACAGGGAAGCCTGGAATGCTGCAGCCCATAGGATTACAGTCAAACACGACTTAGCGACTAAACTGCAACAACTGCATTTCAGACTCTTTTGTTGACTATGAGGGCTACTCCATTTCTTCTAAGGGATTCTTGCCCACAGTAGTCAGTAAAATGGTCATCTGAATTCCTAAAATGTCGATGTTCATTCTTGCCATTTCCTGCTAGACCACATCCAATTTACCTTGTTTCATGGATCTAACATTCCAGGTTCTTATGCAGCATTGTTCTTTATAACTTCAGACATTACTTTCAACCCAGACACATCCACAACTGAGTAACATTTCCACTTTGTCCCAGACTCTTCATTCTTTCTGAAGCTATTAGTAATTTCCCTCTGATCTTCCCCAGTAGCATATTGCATACCTTCTGACCCTGGAGGCTCATCTTCTGGTGTCATATATTTTTACCTTTTCATACTGTTCATGGGGTTTTTGTGGCAAGAATACTGGAGTGGTTTGCCATTCCCTCCTCCAATGGACTACATTTTGTCAGGAATCTCCACTATCATCAAGCTGCCTTGGGTGGCCCTGCATGGCATGGTTCATAGCTTCATTGAGTTATACAAACCCCTTTGCCAAGACAAGGCTGTGATGCATGAAGGGGAGGCAGCATTATTCGGAGGTCATAATTTAGAGAAAGGTTAAGAAAAAGATCACCTGAGAAATTGGAGGGTAGAGGCATTTCTGATCTCTATCTAAACAGTCCCCCCAAACACAAGGGGCTCTCTCATTAATGTTGTCTCCTCTGGCTGTTCTAAAAGTTGATTGGAATACTTTGAGAAAGCCCAAAGAATGTATGCTTTTTATCAAAGAAAACTGGGCTCAAATGTTAATCTTTCTGATTATTCTTCGTCCTTCATTTAACCTCCCTGAATATCTGTCTTCTCATCTGTACACTGGCAATAGTAATACTTAGGTTGCAAAGCTGTTACTAGATAAGAGATAATTTGCATCACACAAGTAGCCCAATCCCTGTACTATGGTAGGAACTCTGTAAATTGTAGCTGATATTTATCAGTGCTCTGTCTCTATAGCTACCTGGGTATTATTCTGTTGGAAAGAGATAAACTAGGGCCTTTCATAATCCCAGGCTTCCTGGAAGTCCCCAAATCAAATTTGCAGTTTTCTTTCATAGCCCAGAAGTATGACCACATCCACTAAAAGGCTTTCAGCTCCCCTTTGGGGTGTGTGTGTGTGTGTGTGTGTGTGTGTGGTGGTGGTGGTGGTGGTGAAGGGGGAGGGAGAAACAAGGCTTACTTTTTTCCAAGGGTATTCAGTGGAGTTAGCAAGGGTAGTGTGGGGAACAAAGTGGTCACAGGCGAGTAGGTCTGCATATTGATGCCATTTTAGTGCCTGCTAGCACCAGTAATTTTGTTTAATTGGGTACTCTTATTCTTAATTGGGGCTTCCCTGATAGCTCAGTTGATAAAGAATCTTCCTGCAGTTCAGGATACCCCGGTTCGATTCCTGGGCCAGAAAGATCCTCTGGAGAAGGGGGAGGCTATCCACTCCAGTGTTCTTGGCCTTCCCTGGTGACTGAGCTGGTAAAGAATCCACCTGCAATGCGGGAGACCTGGGTTCAATCCCTGGGTTGGAAAGATCCCCTGGAGAAGGGAACGGCTACCCACTCTACTATTCTGGCCTGGAGAATTCTAGTATTGTGGCCTGGGTCACAAAGAGTCAGACGCAACTGAACTACTCTCACACTTCTACTGTTAATCATGAAATTATTAGAATTTGTAATTCCTCTTTGAAAGTCCCAGGGAAATAACTGTAATACTAGTATCAGGAAAAATATTTCATAACCATCCTATTTTCCACAATGCATATGACATAGATAGTAGTCATATTTTCCAACAGAAGATTTATTTTGAAAAAAAAAAATCAGTGAATTTAAAATATGGGTTTGGAATAGAGCCTGGGAATCCTGGAAGTGTAGATAGAAAAGGTATGTATGATGGAAAATAAGAGTTAGATCTCTGAATTTAGTCATACAACAAGCATTTATTAATACATACCATATCTTAGACCTCTGCTGGGTAATATGTGGTGTACAAGTGAAGATATCTCTTTCCTTTCTTTAATAATGTTAACAGTCTTGAAGAAAACAACATAACCATGATATGCAACAAGTATTTTGCCTTTGCAATCTGACAATCTACATTCTAATTTTTCCCCTCTGGATACATGATCTTAATATTTCTATGTCTCAATTTTTTTTTCAAATTGTGGTAAGAATAGTCATTCTCAATAAACTAGCCATAGGTGGATTAAGTTGGATCTTGCATGTAAAATCCCTGGCATAAATAATGGCAGCTATTTATAAAGAAAGAAAAATAGTACTGCAATTTATTTAGAAAATTTATAAACTGACTATTATGGACTTCTCTCATACTATGCTGTATAATATCTCATGGCTTCTCAGATTGTCCTAGTGGTAAAGAATCCACCTACCAATACAGGAGACACAAGAGACACAGGTTCGGTCTCCCTGGGTCAGGAAGAACCCTTGGAGAAGGGAATGGCAACCCACTCCAGTATTCTCGCTTGGGAAATCCCATGGACAGAGGAGCCTGGCGGGCTACAGTCCATGGGGTCACAAAGAGTCAGAGGCAAATGAGTAACTGAGCACCTTATTTGTGTATCTATATAAAGTGTTAATAGTAGTTAATATTGAATAAGTGTTTACGATATGCCAGCACATTCAAGGAATTGGTT